ATGAGGTATAATGTGACTCGTTAGCTTGAATTTGGTTGTGACGATGATACCTTCCAGTAAAGCCAATCGACAGCTGGTCAAGAGGAATCCGCCATCGTCTTCTGGTGGAGCCAACCTTTGAATCTATTCACCAAATGCATTCACTTAAAATGGAAGTAAGCTCAACAATTATGAAACAAGGAATTCCTCAAAAACCAACTTTCCTTTGCATGTACTTTGTGAAATTCACTGAAAACCTGAGTTCGGCTCATTTCATTGTGGTATAAACTTCACTATCATTTACATGAGATGTATTTATCCCATTTAGTTTAAAATGATGGGGGATTGGTAGTTGAATTTTCCCACAATGATATGATTTGAGCTGGTGTTTCTACTGAAGTTTGCATAGTTTTGCTTTTCCAAAAGGTCACCTTATCCAGGCTTAATTGGGCTGCGGGATTCGAACCAGAACAGTGCAGCGTGTAATCTCGACACGTTGACCACTATGACGCATTGCCACGAGTACTCTTGGGCCACAGAACAGATGTGCTATATGAAATTAAATGGGAGCTTCGGTTCTACTCGTATGATTTTGGAATAATTCATCTACCAGTCCTTCACCAGCTTAACTGTAATCGAGTGAATACAGCTCATATAACTGATTTAGCGGTAGTCTCGAAGACCTACTTATGAACGAAAAATGTGTGATTCACCCTAACTGACGCACACCGATTATGTTTTCAGTGAATAATTATTGATAGTTACGAAATCATAGTTTACGGAACAGACGAAAATCGGCTCTTTAAGAGTTGACACATCGAAGTGGACAATAATGCTGAATGAGTCACAGCAAAGTGGCTCTTGAACGGATCCCAGAACACTCGAGTTAAGCAGAAGGTAGGGAATAGAGCCAAAAGGGTCGACCTCTGTCTCCTCATCTTTTCAGTTCAAAACGGGCTGAGCGAATACGCATCATCCTATCGGCAATAAATACCGCTTTCTGACACAAATGTAGGCTTTCGAGACTGCACGTCAGGCGATGGCAATCCGCGTTCCCATGGCCTCGTGGTAGCCAAGTGTTGACGTACAATTCGCATTCATCCGCGCCGGCTTCCGAAGTCCAGATGGTGCAGATATCTCTTTCCCAGGGACGGTGAAGGCGAGACGAGGCAGCACGACATGCACCGATGAGCTTTTCCCAACTCGCATTCTAATTCCAGTCGGGACTGGTTATTTAATTATTTGATTCAGTCCAAACCGGACCCTCCTCTTTCAAAACGTTGCATGCAATCCTGTCCTCCTTCGCCGTCATCGCGACCGGCCATCCTGTCCCGTTCGGTCGCGGCAAAATGAGTCCCATTACGGCGAAACTGGCCACGAGGAGTCCTAATGCTTGGCCGTCAAAAGCGACAATCTTCACTCTCGGGACAGCAACAGGAGGAAACAATGTGAGTCGTTTCGGCCGGCAAAGGGGCGGGTTTGTCCGAGCTAGAATGCCACCTTAGTTCCCAGACTGGAGCTGCCTCTGAATAACAATGGATTAATAACTATGATGAGATGTGTGTGTGTGTATGTGTATGTGTCTGTATGTATGTGTGTGTGTGTGTGTGTGTGTGTGTGTGTGTGTGTGTGTGTGTGTGCAAGAGAATAGCTGAAATGACCCTACAGCGAGATCGA